TAAGACTGAAACCTTTCAAGAAGTGTGTTTGTGAGGGAAGCTTCTAGTAGAAATGCTCTCCAGTCATGAGAACCAGCTGCATTTAAGAATGAAAATTTTCTGTTTACATACCTAAGTCTGTCTTTATGTATCTAATTTTTTTTTCTGAGTCTGGGCCTAATTTCTTAAGGATTTTTTTTTCCCCCCACATTGTGGGTCTTTTGCTCTCTGGACCTGAAAATCTTTACACAGAACTTTTCTGTGGTATCATGCATGACCAATGCCATGGTTATAATTTTAGGTTTTACCTGAATCTTAATTACCTTTAGATTTCTGTAAGTAGAATGAACTAATTTCTCATGGTGAGTGTTAGAATGAGTTTTAGACAGAGTTTTAGAAGAGGAATTCAGTGTGACAGGTGAATGAGTGCTCATGTATTTCAGCAGCAGTCATAGAATCCACATTCTTCTGAAGATCCCAAGAGTGTTCCAGGAATAAATACACTGAAACTTTGTGCTTGTCCCATACATGAGTCCCCACATGAACACATTTTGGGAGAAAGATGCAGTAATTCTCCAGTTCCCCGACTGCAGTGGGGTCTGCCCTGACTCTGGGAACTTGAGCAGTAAATTGGTGTAAACCAGCTTGTCAAGAGCCATCTGCAGCTCAGACTGTTGCTGATCTGCTTTCTAGCCTCTTGTTGTTTTCACATGGAAATTCTAGAGAGATTAAGAAGTATTGGTGTGGGCTAGGCCTGGTCACTGAATGATGTTATGGGGCAAAGTTGAAAAGATAATTACAGTTGTTTGAAGGACCCAGATTTCCAAGACTGCCAGAAGTGGTTGATGTTCACAATTACTATGAGGATAAACAGGTAAATTAGGATGTATGTTCTGATGTTGGCCATGTGGGCTTTTCCTGTATTTTGCCATCAGTCAGCATTAACTGATGCTAGAATATGCTAGCTAAGATGTCAGCAAACAGCTGTGAAGTAGAACACTTACCTGTGAAAAGAAGAATGTCACATTCTGCAGATCCTAAAATGGAAAGGATTGCTTTGAGAACTATGTTAAAAATATCAATCACATCATTATTTTCTTGAAGTACTTCAACTCAGTGTCTACATAGAAAATGCAGAACAGAAAGCACCTCTGCACTTTACACATTCCAGCCTCTCAATTGCTCACTGATGTAAAAATACAGAAATACATATTCTAGTAGTTTTCTTCTAGCTTGATATAGTGCCTCTGTTTCAAAAGCAATTAGGGGTTTTTTCCCTGCATGGAAAATTATTTACTGTTTCTACCTTCTGTCAAGAAGGAAGTGGGACACTTCTGCAGATTTTAAAATCCTTTGAGCATTCACCACATGCATGTAGGTGTGATTTTTCTGGAGAAGTTAGTAGTTAGCACTGACTCAGTAAGACACAAGCTGTGGACAGTCACCATGACAGCTTTGTGGCACAGGTGATTTGTGTGGGCTGGGGGATTTCCAAGCCCTCACCTGAGCCAGGCTTCAGTGGGTTCTGAGAGCTGATGAAATCACAGCACAGAGCACTGAACCTTCAGGGTAGATTTGTATCCTTTCTCCTTGGTCATGTGCTTGGCCAGGGTGGAGGAGAACAAGCCTTTCTTGGATGTTTTACAATCAATACCTTAATTTAGGTCATACCCACAACCATATAGTGGTGTGTGTAAATTTACTGGGGGTTTAGTGAATAGGTTGTGACTGTTTTGAACACAAGATCAAAGAGAATTTTTAAAACCCAATCTAAACAACACCAAGCATAAACAAGTAATTTCTTCCTTCTCATATACATGGAAAGAAAGGAAAAGGAGTGAAGAACATGGACATTAATATGCACAAGGACAGGATTTTTGATAGGCTTTTATAGTGAGGATGGGAAAAAAGCTGGGGACAGTCAGGGTGACAAGCTTGACATGGAACAGGTTACTAAAGCTGGGAATGTGATCTACAGTAACTTTATGAAGGAAAATCTGTTCTGATTGTGAGAGAAAGAGGAAACATTTCTGATTTGTCTGCAGAAAAATTTCTAGGCAGTGTCAAGTCTGCAATTCTGCAGGGAATCCCCGTCTTAGGGATGTCTCAGTGGAAGTAAAACTCAGCAATAGTTGTGGCTTTAGTGTGTATGGCATGTTATTGTTTACATAGGACCTAATTGAACTTTGAGTCAGCCTAGAGAGCAGCTAAACTCATCTAAATACTATGATTTAAGACACATAAGTTAAGAACTTCCCTGTCTTTCTTTTATAGTATTTAGAAAGATTTTTAGTCTTCTTTCTGCTTATAATGGTTTTCCATTATGGAACCATTCCCCTAGGTATGGAAGTAGCCCTTTTGTTATCAGTTTTCTCCTATGTTAATTTTAATGTCTTTTATATAATAGGACCCTTAGCTAAAGACTGTAGTTTTGGATGATTCTTAGTTTTGTGACTTTCATGTGTATCAGAGGTAAGTCAACAAAAAACAAAACGTGTAAAATCTTTGTAAGTCACCTTCTCCCATAGTTTAACTCAGTGATTTCACAGATATCTCTCATCTACATTAATGCTTCCTATGTGTCCTGGACAACCATTGTTCCTGCATTTAGGGAGTATTTAGTAATGAAGAGACAGAGAAGCAGCTCTGAATAAAAGGGATTGAGATGAATTGTAGGTGAAGAAGGAGGGAAAGCCTAAACAATTGGTTATTTGGTTTATTTTCAGGAAGGTGGTGTTTAAATAATTTGCCAAAAATCCGTTGTTTTTTCTTTTCAGCATTTTAAAATATGGAAACATTTGTTTCATGTTAGGAAAGATCTTGTTTCCATGCTTCATTAGCATAAAAACACGTCAGAATCTGAATTTTTTTTAGTTCCCACAATGAAATGTATTTTTTCATTAGTCTTGGTTGTAAATTGTTTTATCACATGTACAGGCCTCACTGTTGGGAAGTCGTTTTAATAGGACCAACTGATTTATAATTCTGTGTAGTTTTACATTCCAGAATATGCATTGTAATTGAAATGTATTAATATTTGACCATTTTCCCTACACCACCAAACAGATTAAGCTGATAATTGCTAGAATGTATTAGAAGTGGAATGGAAAAAAACCCACCAAACAACAAAAAATCAAGGGGAAAATAGAGCTAGAACACAAATTGCAATTGTTCTGTGAAATTGTGTCCACAGAGAAGTCTTTGTTGTCACATAAGAGTATTTGACAAGAGTATGCCAGAACAAGAGTATGCCAGTACTACTGAAAATATCCTAATGATTTTAGGTGAAACAGCATCCCCCTTGGAGATGATGGTAAATAGAGCTGCTAAAGCCTGGCTTGCAAAAGGAGGTGGGTGGGGGGAAATCCTACAGTGCCCAGGGCAGCTGCTGATGGTACAGCTGTAGTGATGCTCCTGCTGCTGGCAAACAGAAAAGGACACACTAACTCCAGTGATTCTATGAGCTGGCAGAAATCAGGTAAGTGTGCTGCAGAGCAACATGAGCTGAGGTTTTTATTCTCTGTGCTGCTTTATTGGGTTCCTGGTGGTTTTGGTGTGGGGGCACAAGCACTGGGCCAGCAAGTTTAGACCATCCTGTTCAGGCCAGACTGGGAGTTGTGCTGGTCCCCAGTGCAGTATTATGGCTTCTGCTTCATTATGCATAACTGGAGTTTCCATAACTGCAGGAAACCTGGGAAAAAGGTGTGGGAGGGACAGGGAGAGCTCTAGATTTCTGCCTTTTTGTTCTTTTAATGGGAAAAATGGTAATATATAATGGTAAAATGGGAATTTCTGGTTTTCTTGTGAATGTCTTTTTCCCATATTGCATTTATTTATTATGGTTTGCAGCTGTAGTTCTAGGCATTTATATCCACACTGCCAGCTGTAATAATTCTGAGTCAGGATGACTTTCTGCTAAGTTACCATCTCCTTCGTTCAAGAGGAGTGTGCAGGGAAGTGTAAAAGTAGATTTCTTAAAAGAAAAACAACAGCTCTTTTCTATTAAGAGGAAACTGGTCTTTAGCCTTGTGCCTCTCTTCCAAGTCATGTGCACAGCTTGTCTGGTAGATTTTTGTTTCTGCACGTGGATGCAGTTGCTTCAGAGCTGAGTTAAGCAGAAAGAGAATCAATCAGTAGATTCCAGACACTTCATAAAGGTTACAAGGAACAGAAATGAGAGCTATTGTCACTCTTTAAGTGAAAATACCTCCCTGTCCAGATCAGGCAAAGGCCAGTGGGTCTGTGGTTGTTTGCTTAGAGAAAGCTCCTCAGAACACTGTTGTTGGATACACACACACTGCAAAGATGCAGAAGTGAATGACACCACTGGTGTGTTCTGTCTTCCAAATCATACAGGCAGCAATTTCACTTCACCCTCAAGTTACCATTTTGCTTACCCTAGAATGTGTTTTCTCATTTTCCCTTTCATAATTTGAGCAGGAGGAATGTGTGGATTGGTTTATTGAAGTAGTCTATGTGGATTAACTAAAGGGTATAAAATACTTAAGAGAATACCACAAAACATGAACTGATGAACTGTATTTTTATGTGAACTTTTTTTACTGTTTAATTGATGCTGAAGTATGCTGAACAATCTGCATATCTCAATAGAAGGGGGAAGTTTACCTGACTTGCATTTGGAACTGCAGTTTGCTCTAGATTCACTGACAAGTAAAGCTAACACAGCATTGTTGAGAATTGCAACATGTATTTCATTCCCAGAAATATTGAGATGCGTCTAAAGTGTCTAAAAAAAATCTCAGAATAAATAAAACAGAGTAGTAAAACTGAGGAGATCTGAAAGTAAATTTTTTATAGTATTTTTTTGACAAGTTTCTATGTCTGTCATACCATTTGATTGGTTCTGACTTCAAAGAGCTTACAGTATCACATATTTTTTAATGTTTATGATAATTTTCTTTGTAAATGTGTAATAAAATTTACTATATTCTTCAAAAGAATCACTCATGGAAATATACTAAAAAAATGTCTCTTCTGTTTCTTTGATATGTTTCACATAGGAAAGAAGAGAAAGGAAACGAAAGCTGAGCAAAGAAATGGCAGAAAAGGCCACAAGGGAACTGGAAAAAATGCAGCTAAAAGAAAAGGCTGACATAAAATATAAAGAATGGTTAGAGAAGAAGAGAGCTGAAGAGGCAGAAAAGAAGAAGAAAGAGAAGGTGTTAATGAATTCACAATTTATTTGGATGGAGTTACTTAATCTGCAATTTATTGCAGATTCAGATTTGATATATTCAAATCTTACATTGAATATATGGACATCAAATGGCAGTGTTGCACATGAAGAAAAATCTTTCAAGAGTTACTATGTTAGTGCATTAAAGACACTGTGGTATGGTCAGCAAAGTAAGATGCATATTAATGCATTTTTGCTAATAGCCTTTGGTTTTTTTCTTAGGGAAACACTAGATTAACATGGAAATTGGGGGTTGGGGTTTTTCTCAGTCTTAAACCAAAAAAAGTGCATCTTTTCCATTGTTAGGAGAAGGTGCTTGTATTTGAAGAAATACTTGAATTGTATTCAGCAGTCTGGAAATCTGCAGAATATTATTTACTATTTTGTGTATGTTGTACAGGGCTTTGTCTAGTAGTACCTTTTCTTTTTTTATTTCTAGGAAAAAGAAAAAGAACGGATGGCTGAGCTACAGGAGAAGAGAACAAGATCAGAGAAAATCTTTAAGGAATGGCTGCAAAATGCTAGAAATAAACCACAACCTGCTTTAAATGGTTTCCCAAATGGGAGGTCTACAGGTTTGTATGTACAGTACACAAATAGGAAGTGACTTGGGCTTGTGGTTCCTTCCTTCTTGTATTTTAGTGTGAAATGAAGGCTGTTTAAGACACTCATCTAATACTATCTAATTAAGACACTGATCTAATATTTGTCACATAGGAATAGTTACTTTAACTATGCTATAAGTCAGGGAAACAGATTGAGACCTTTTGTGTATTTTTCTTAGCCTTTATTTTTTCTTATTTGGGAGGAAAATGACATTATTTGAGATAATTATGTGGTGTACCAAAGGATAATTTTATCTGATTTTTCTTACCAGGCATAGGAATCACTAGAGCAAAGTCTTGGGTCCTGTGAAGCAAATTAGTTGTGTCATTGTCAAGTTAGTTTTGTGTTACAGAAGGTGTGTGTCAGCACACCTGAATCCACCTTAGAAAAGAGGTGGGGTTTAGAGACACAAGAACTATTAGAAGCTGACAGAAGTCCTGTCTGAAAAAGGAGACAGGGGCACCAACCTGTGTTCTGAGCTAAAATTTTGCTTTTCACCTGCATTGCACCTCCTTGGCTTCTGTAATCCTGTTCCATTTTTGTTTGAAAACATCTTATTTTTCTGTGCAACTGAAATAATTGCTTCTATTTGACTTTGCAACAGAAATAGTTTTGAGACCAAAATTCTGATTTTTGAATGTTCAAGAGACGGGTATAAAGCAGCTGAACAGCCTTTACTCTTCTGCTTACATTTATTTTTAAATAGTGATATACCTTGCCTTACTGTTTTGGTTGGACCTGCATTACAGACTGACAGCTGCAATCATTTATTTCAATCATTTTTGAAGAATATTTGTCTACTCACTCCTGTGATTCAGTGTAATGTGTTACAAACTTTGAAGTGTATCCTTCCATCACGTGGTTGGGTAAAACAAAGTAGCCAATTTGTAGACATTTACAGTTCTTAAGAACACAAAGGACTGAGCATTCAACCTGCTTATTATTTAAGTAGAAGTGAAGAAGATACCAGTTACTGTTTAAAAAGCAAAAAGGTGGACTGGTTATCATTTTGAGTCACTTTAATTATGTGATGTGCCTGTGCTTTCTCTGAAGATGTTATTGTGTTGTATAATTATTGTAACTGCTTGTATTGGCAAGCTTGTGGTGTAAATATTCCTTCTAAATTATGTGTATTTTCTAAATATTCTAGGGAGTGCTGATAGAAATCTGTATCCAGCTCCAGCATATTGTAACCCCATTCCTTGGAAGCCAGTACATGTGTCTCCCCCAAAGGAAGACACAGTTCTCAGCAGGAAGAGGAGTCAGAGACCTGCATCTTGTCAGCCATGTGCAGCTTTACCAGGGGTGATTTCTAAGCCCAGGAGTAACCCTTGTAGTGGATCCCTGTGCAGAAAGAAGCTATAGATGGAAGAAAAAATGTTCTTACAACCTTGACCAAATGGGGCCATAAATGTGAAGTTCTGTGTAGTTATATGTCCAGTGCAGATTGCTTTGTGCCTGCCTTCCCCCCCACCTTTTTTTTCCCTCCCTTTTTTTGGAGCAAGTTTTGTGTTTACTGCTAGTTGACCAATCAGGCTTTTAATGCTTTTTCTATATTGCATTTTAGTTTAAGAAAAAGGAAAAGATTAATTGTAATGGGACTGTACCTCAATGCCAATAAAATGCACAGGGTTGTTTCTTCTTTTCCTCTCTTGTTGTTGAAGGAGTTCTTTTGTATATGTAATTATTCTTTTGGGCAACAGTATTGACTAGGTTATTTTAAAGATAAATTTAATTTGTAACAAATTGTTTTGTTTTAATTTGTAACAAATTTTAAAACAGTTCTTGGCTTAATGCAGAAGGAATTGGCCTGCCTCAGTTACAGGGTTATCATGTCACTGGGATTACAGAGATCTAGTGGGATGGCTGGAGTGCTGCAAGGAATGGCTGCAGGCTGTTGAGGAAGCATGGGCTCTTTGCTGGCCCTGATATGCACAAACCAGGGAGAGCTGCTCAGGGGTGTGAAGTTTGGGGCCAGTGATGACATGCCTCAATCTGTGAGATTTGGTCAGGTGCACCTGAGAATGCTGAGGAAGTGGCACATGTCACTGTAAGGATGCTCTCAATTATCTTTGAGAAGTCTGATGATAAGGGGAGGTTGCTGAGAGCTAGAAGGAAGTGAATGTCAGGCCAGCCTTCAGGAGGAGTGTGGATGCAGAGCTGCAGGCCAGCACAGCCTCACATCAGTCACCTGGACAGCTGATGATGGATGTGGTGAGTGCAGCCAGCAGCCTCCTGGGCTGCAGACGAAGAGCCTGTCCCTTGTGCCATAACTATGTGAGACCACACTGGAGTGCTGGGCCCATTCCTGGGCAGCAGTGTGCCAGGAAAAGAGTGACACTGATGTTCTGGAGCAAGCTCAGTGAAGGGCCACAAAGATGATTAAAGGATTGCAGCATCTGACAAGAATGCATCTCTTTCAGAAGCTGACAGAGCTGTGACTGTTCAGCATGAAGGAGAGAAACTTCAATAATGTCTGAGCAATGTCTGTAAATACCTGGTGGCTGGAGAGAGAGAGCAGACCCTCCTCACTAGTGCCCAGGGAGTGGAAATCAAAGTACAGGAAATTCCATTTAAACAGAGGGCAAAAATGTTAAGAGGAAGAGTCATCGAACGCTGGAACAAATTGCCCAGGGATGTTGTGGAGTTTCCATTCTTGGATATACTCAGAACTTGGCTTGACATAGCCCTGAGAAACCACCTCCAGTTGGCCCTCTTTTGAACAACACAGTTGGACTAGATCATTTCTAGAGGTCCATTCCAGTCTCAACAATTCTGTTATTAATGGTGAAAAGGAAAAAGCAGAAATAAAGAAGACTTATTTTTCCTATTGTAGTTGTATCACTATGAGAAATACCTTGTTATCCTTAGAAAGTTAGAGTATTAAAAAGTATATTGCACATTATAAAATTTATGTGGTAAGAAAACACACCAAGTCACATTCTGGAATTTCTATTGATTCTAGTTCTAGGCTTAATATATTTTAATTTCTTCAGAGCAAGTTGTAAAAAATATTAAACTATCTCATATCAAGTTTATACCTAATACATTACTTGTACCATGACTTTGAGTGAATCAATTTATACAATATGCCTGTCTCTGTTCTTTCTAAATAGTGGCAAATGCTAACAAGACTGCAACACCTTACAGTCGGACTTAGAGATTATTTGGTTTGTGTTTGCATTTAGACTTTCACAAAGTCTTAATGTTACTGTGTGCATTTAGGAGAAGTCTGGTGTCTGTACAACACATGGAACATCAAACTGTGTTTCTGGTAAGTAGCAGCACACAGAAGGCTGCACATTATCTTCAGGATGTAGAACTCTGTGTCCATCTTTGTCTGTAATTCTGTTCTTGTAGGCACAGAGTTTGTGGGAGTGGGGCTGTGGCTGATCCCTAATTGGCTGCAGCTGTGCAGGACAGGTGAATGCTATTGAAGGTAAGAAGCCATGGGGTGCTGAGCAGTCACACAGGGAGCAGAGGGCACACAGGGGCAGGGCATCAACAGGAGGGGATAAAAGGTTGTGAGCAGATGCTCAAAGCCCTCTTTGGTGTTGGTGGTGGCTCCACCATGGCTCACATATCATGGTGACCCCAGCAGGATTTGGGGTTTTGCTGTAGGGTGAGCTGCAGACGCAGCAGCGTAGCCTTGAGAGCAGTGGGGGGACACTGCCCGATGGACCAGGCTGGATTTGGCACCTGGGGCACAGGTGAGTTGCTGGGAACACCACGGGAAGTAACTTCATCTCGGGTTTCTGTGGGTAAGATGACCCCAAGGTGTTAGGAAGTCTTTTTCCAGCCCTGTGACCGAAGAAGTTGAGATTCCTCAGCTCTGGTTTTCAAGGTTATTTGCTCTTATCTGTTACATTCTTTCTCTGACCCGCTGAGGTCTGCCCAGCAGGTTGGTTTGTGGCACAATCCCTGCCCTTGGGGTGGTGTTATTTTTTGATACTAAGAACCACATGTACTTTATTTAAAATAGTTTTCCAATACCTGTCACCTATGTTAGACAGTCTGTCTCTACTCTAAACCAATCCAAAAGTGCCACCACCACAGCAAAAGATGGAGGACTAGAAGGAGAAAGGCAGGACATGCCCAGATTCCTCTGTCTTGCCTCTTGAACCCCCATTCTAAATCCCCAAATTTCTACTTTTTACCCTGTGACAAATTCACTATCATTCTATCCAAACTCTTGTGGCTTGCAACTCTTCACACAAAGTTGGTAATTGTTTCCATGGGCTAAAATAAAAGGCACAGGTGTTTGTGACTCTGTGCCAAGGTCTCTGAGCCCCCTGCCAGGGTCTCCAACTACCCAGGGCAGCCAGAGGGATGTCCTGGGTCCTGACAACTTCAGACCATCTAATGCAACAAAAGCTGTGAAAGGAGCAAGAGAAGTTGTTAGACCAGCAGTAGGAGCTACAGACAGAGTGGCTCTGTTGTTCAGTGCCACGTGTTCATTTGCTGGTAAAATCTGTGTACTGTGCTTGTGGATTGCAGTTCTTAGGATGGGAACATGCAGATTCTATCGTCTTCTTGTGTGTTAATTTATGAAGTTGTGTGGCTGTGGATGGAATTCTGTAATTCTTGTGTGTTGCTTTATAAATTTGTGCTGCTATTGATATTGTCAGTATTGTAGAAGTGTAGATATGAGGATTTTGGTGATAGGAAATGTGAGTTTGGGGATTGAACCAAGGTCAGGACAGGATCCAGAGTCAGTGGAGCCTGCACAAGGGATACTTGTACCATATTTGCTGTTTCTTCTGCAAGGGCCCTCTAGAAGGATGGCAGATATGGCATTTATTTAAAAGAAAATAAAAGGGGGGGAAGTGTTGTGGGCACAGAGTTTGTGGTGATTGGAGTGGGGCTGTGGCTGATCCCCAGTGGCTGCAGCTGTGCAGGACAGGTGAATGCTATTGAAGGTGAGGAGCCATGGAGTGCCCAGGGGTGCTGAGCAATCACACAGGGAGCAGAGGGCACACAGGGGCAGGGCATCGACAGGAGGGCATAAAAGGCTGGGCTGAAGGGCAATAAGGAGCAGCAGGTGCTTGAAGCCTCCTTTGGTGTCCTCGTGGCATTGTCTTTGCCCCAATATTGGGTAAGCTGTGTAAAGCTTGTGAGTGTTTAAGATAAAGGGACAGTATTTTATTGTAATGCAAATGATTAATTTTGGATTAGCTTGCAGAGATTTTTTGGACTGATTTAGTTGAAGAGTCATATACTATTTTACTGTTTTCTCTGCTCTGACACGTTCTCTGAATGTGTGTTGACATGATTATCTGAGTGTATGCTGATGGCTTTGTATTTCTTTTTGGATTTATTTGCTTGTACTGAAATAAAATTAACTAGTGGACTTAGAGACCCTAAAATAGAATGAGGCCCTTGCTGCAGCTTATTCATAGCATTGTAAAGACATTTCTGTCCTAACTAAATTACAGCACAAGGTTAAGGCAAGATAGCTGCTGAATGCACATATTTGCCTAAGTTTAATCTACATAATGATTTTACTAAAGAAGAGAAATGATGTTTGGATTTTTTCCAATGAGATATCAACTGCACAATAAAATGGGCTGGCCTTGCAGCATAATTTCAGATTGTGTGCCACAGAAGGCTATAATTTTATGCTGTTGTGGTAAATAACTTACACCATTCTTTCTCAGATGTTAGAAGATAAAATCATGACACTGGAGCAACTGGCTTAAAGGGTTGGTAGCAATGGTTTGATTTCCTCTGCTCAGAAGGGATTTCTCTCTCTGTTGGGATATCTGTGCTGGGCTGAGTACAGCTCACAGTGCACTGAGGGAGGCAGGGCAGATCTATAGGATGTGTCTGGGGTCTGGCTGAGCTGGAGTTCATTTCCCCACAGCAATCTCAAAGTGCTGTGCCTTGCTTTGCTGGCTAGAAAGGTGCTGATAACAAAATTGCAAAACCAATTTCCATGCCAGGATGCAGGGAACAAACATGAAAGGTGGATGGATGGCAGGTGAGGCTGCAGCTGTGACTGGGCACAATATGATGCCTCTGCTGCATTATTTATTTCACATAATATCGAAGTTTGTGCAGTCTTGCACTGGGAAAAGTGAGTTCCTGTGCCCATCCAGCACTTTCTCCTATGCCACTCTATATGTGCACAGTTTGTCACAGGTGTCTCAAGCCAAATGTGCATGGCAGCAGCTTGAGGTGCCCTCAGCAGCAGAATCTGGACAGGGATGTTTATTAATAAAGGGCCAAAGCTGCTGCACTGATCCAGGGATGAACACTGAAGTTTCTGGCGGCTTCTTGTTTGTGATGTTCTGGCCCATTGCAGCTGACATGACCTGTGTGGAACTTCCTTGTACCTACTTCAAACTCACACGTGGCTTTCAGACCTTAGTTCTGTTTCATATCCAAATTCTTCTCCTTCTCAGGAAGGAAAATGGGAGGGTAAAACTAACGACGTTCTTGGTGGAGAGAAAGTGGGTAATATAAC